ACTTTGAAATTCCACTGTGAAAAAATGAAATAAAATAAATTATCGTGTCCGTTCCCGCTAACACCCTGTAAAACTCTAGTGTAGCCAACTGTCATATGTTCAGTACACCCAACTCAACTTGTCATATGTTCAGTACACCCAACTCAACTTGTCATATGTTCAGTGCACCCAACTCAACTTGTCATATGTTCAGTACACCCAACTCAACTTGTCATATGTTCAGTACACTCAACTCAACTTGTAATATGTTCAGTACACCCAACTCAACTTGTCATATGTTCGGTACCCCCAACTCCACTTGTCATATGTTCAGTACACCCAACTCAAATTGTCATATGTTCAGTACACCCAACTCAACTTGTCATATCTTCAGTACACCCAACTCAACTTGTCATATGTTCAGTACACCCAACTCAACTTGTCATGTGGTCAGTACACCCAACTCAACTAGTCATATGTTCAGTACCCCCAACTCAACTTGTCATATGGTCTGTACACCCAACTAAACTTGTCATGTGTTCAGTACACCCAACTCAACTTGTCATGTGTTCAGTACACCCAACTCAACTTGTCATATGTTCAGTACACCCAACTCAACTTGTCATATGTTCAGTACACCCAACTCAACTTGTAATATGTTCAGTACACCCAACTCAACTTGTCATATGTTCGGTACCCCCAACTCCACTTGTCATATGTTCAGTACACCCAAATCAACTTGTCATATTGTCAGTACACCCAACTCAACTTTTCATATGTTCAGTACACCCAACTCAACTTGTCATATGTTCAGTACACCCAACTCAACTTGTCATATGTTCAGTACACCTAGCTCAACTTGTGATATGTTCAGTACACCCAACTCAACTTGTCATATGATCAGTACACCCAACTTAACTTGTCATATGTTCAGTACACCCAACTCAACTTGTCATATGTTCAGTACACCCAACTCAACTTGTCATATGTTCAGTACACCCAACTCAACTTGTCATATGTTCAGTACACCCAACTCAACTTGTCATATGTTCAGTACACCCAACTCAACTTGTAATATGTTCAGTACACCCAACTCAACTTGTCATATGTTCAGTACACCCAACTCAACTTGTCATATGTTCAGTACACCCAACTCAACTTGTCATATGTTCAGTACACCCAACTCAACTTGTAATATGTTCAGTACACCCAACTCAACTTGTCATATGTTCGGTACCCCCAACTCCACTTGTCATAATTATGTTCAGTACACCCAACTCAACTTGTCATATTGTCAGTACACCCAACTCAACTTTTCATATGTTCAGTACACCCAACTCCACTTGTCATATGTTCAGTACACCCAACTCAACTTGTCATATGTTCAGTACACCCAACTCAACTTGTCATATGTTCAGTACACCCAACTTAACTTGTCATATGTTCAGTACACCTAGCTCAACTTGTGATATGTTCAGTACACCCAACTCAACTTGTCATATGTTCAGTACACCCAACTCAACTTGTCATATATTCAGTACACCTAGCTCAACTTGTGATATGTTCAGTACACCCAACTCAACTTGTCATATGGTCAGTACACCCAACTTAACTTGTCATATGTTCAGTACACCCAACTCAACTTGTCATATGTTCAGTACACCCAACTCAACTTGTCATATGTTCAGTACACCCAACTCAACTTGTCATATGTTCTGTACACCCAACTCAATTTGTCATATGTTCAGTACACCCAACTCAATTTGTCATTATGTTCTATACACCCAACTCAACTTGTCAGATGGTCAGTACACCCAACTCAACTTGTCATATGGTCAGTACACCCAACTCAACTTGTCATATGTTCAGTACACCCAACTCAACTTATCATATGTTCAGTACACCCAACTCAACTTGTCATATGTTCAGTACACCCAACTCAACTTGTCATATGTTCAGTACACCCAACTCAACTTGTCATATGTTCAGTACACCCAACTCAACTTGTCATATGTTCAGTACACCCAACTCAACTTGTCATATGTTCTGTACACCCAACTCAATTTGTCATTATGTTCTATATACCCAACTCAACTTGTCATATGTTCACTACACCCAACTTAACTTGTCATATGTTCGGTACACCCAACTCAACTTGTCATATGTTCAGTACACCCAACTCAACTTGTCATATGTTCAGTACACCCAACTCAACTTGTCCTATGGTCAGTACACCCAACTCAACTTGTCATATGTTCAGTACCCCCAACTCAACTTGTCATATGGTCTGTACACCCAACTCAACTTGTCATGTGTTCAGTACACCCAACTCAACTTGTCATGTGTTCAGTACACCCAACTCAACTTGTCATATGTTCAGTACACCCAACTCAACTTGTCATATGTTCAGTACACCCAACTCAGATTGTCATATGTTCAGTACACCCAACTCAACTTGTCATATGTTCGGTACCCCCAACTCAACTTGTCATATGTTCAGTACACCCAACTCAACTTGTCATATGTTCAGTACACCCAACTCAACTTGTCATATGTTCAGTACACCCAACTCCACTTGTCATATGTTCAGTACACCCAACTCAACTTGTCATATGTTCAGTACACCCAACTAAACTTGTCATATGTTCAGTACACCCAACTCAACTTGTCATATGTTCAGTACACCCAACTCAACTTGTCATATGTTCAGTACACCCAACTCAACTTGTCATATGTTCAGTACACCCAACTCAACTTGTCATATGTTCAGTACACCCAACTCAACTTGTCATATATTCAGTACACCCAACTCAACTTGTCATATGTTCAGTACACCCAACTCAACTTGTCATATGTTCAGTACACCCAACTCAACTTGTCATATGTTCAGTACACCCAACTGTCATATGTTCAGTGCACCGAACTCGCAACACATGAACAGGGCATCATCACGGATATCACTGATGAGGCTCTCCTGGGTGAAAATGTGGACAATTTACTGTACGTGGTGTAAGCAAGGACTGTTTGTGTGTTGCGAGTTGCGTGTATTTCCTCCGTTAACACAAACTTAGTGATGAATTATGATTAGGGCGGCTGAAACGATCATACTGAATAATCGAGTACTCGTTTGATAACTCTAAGGATCGAGCAATCTTTTAGATTACCGATTACGATTATTTTGCGTTTTTTAAATTTTTGTCCAGAAAGTACTGTAAATTCTCGTGTTGTGAAGTTTGAATCAGTTTCCGCTGGGAGCATGCAGGACATTGCAGGTGCCAGGGGTATGGATCATGTTCTGAGGTAAAATTGACTTCAAAACTGCCATGTTTCGGAGCTACCCTTTCACTAATGCAGATTTGTTGGTATTATGAAGGCATAGTTTGTGGAAACAGAGTCATGTTTGCACAGAATTATGACTCTATTTGCTAACGATTATAATCTTGCATGCTCTCTCTCATGCAGCACACGATAGAGTTGGATTCAGAGACACCATTCACAATTCTCTCGCTGATTAACCCTTTGCGTGCTGAGTACGAGTTAACTCGCACTTTATGCATGACCTGATCCACTACGTACGACGCCTCGCAACAATTTCGCGCGATATATCGCAGTGCATAGACCAGTACAGTGTACAAACTTTCGTAACTTCGTCAAACATAAACGCATCGTGACAATCAATACACCGTTGGAAAGGTCTTGATCTCATCTTTCCGGGGATATAATGTTCTTCGCGATAGGATAAGAATTCATTGAGCGGCGGCGCGAAAATCACGGCCCAGAGTGAACGCGAATTGTTCATGATTTCTTTTTGTTGAGGAGCGTGCCAGGGGATTTCCCTTTGGCGCGGCCCTTGCGTGATGGACATCAAATGAAGCGCTTGGATCTGAGCTTTGCAGCGCAGTTTGAATTGTGAAAATCTGTTCAATTTGGGCAAGAAGCCGAACAAGAATGTGAAATTGAGTTGTTGTGCCATTCCGAGGCAAGGTGGAGTAGTTTGGAGAGGACGTGGAAGTGGCCCTGATGTGTCTATCGAGCTGAGAGCTGCCAGGATGGATTCGCTTGGTCGTGATCTTTCCAACGAGCCCAGGACGATGAAAATCCATCAAGGTGGAGTGAAATGAGAATAAATTTCGTTCGGAGCTGTGAGTGCCTGCTCCACCAAGAGAGTCATTGCGCTGGAAAGCCAGTGGATTGGAGAAAAGGGGCTCAGCATGCAAAGGGTTAATGCCTCTACGATCACCTTGTGATTGTGAGTTATACATACATACATACATACATACATACATACATACATAATCGATTACTCGATCGTTAAGCTAAAGAGTAATCAATACGTGAAAATCCACGATCGTTTCAGCCCTAATTTTGATGGATATGAAAACGCTTGGAACCGGTCAAGAACCAGGCCCGCTGGAAGGCAGGCAAAGTTGATGCGGTTTGAGTGGGTCCGGGGATCTCCCCAGGGGCATTTTTTTGAAAAATCGGGTTAGATTTAGCAGAATTTGGCCCTTTCACAAGGTTTCAGAGCCCACTACAGGGAATAATTTTGCATGGATATCAATGTACGATGTTTGGCCAACTATGGGAGTATGGGTGCATGTACAGATGAAGAGAATGCCAGCCAGAGGTGCTAGAGGGTTTTTACATTGCCAAGTTACCGCCTGCTCTTTGTAGACAGAAGGTGCTTTTGAAAAAGATAGTGCTTTTCCGAATTTCCTCCCCCTCCTTCCCTGCTATAATTATTGTGCTCTTTGGAGAAACTCACTCCATCATTTAGCCTGTGTACGTTTCAACACTATTCTACCGCCGATATGCTGTGTAAATTGACATTGTTGTGCTTCGTCTCATTTTCAACCTTAACCGATTTGAGAAATGATTGTACAAAAGGACTCATCAGATTTACAACTCCCTTCGTCTCTTCGTATGCTAATATGTTTCCCTTTGTTTAAGTCTCGAGTTCATTTCTGTCTCCATGGCAACTGACCTATGCGTACACTTCCATTTGTTTGGTTTCGTTGCAGGTGAACATCACTATGTTTGTAACGGAGGAGTGCTTTTTATGGACACGAAGGACTTACTGGATTACCAATCTGCCGAGAATTTTTGTTATGCCAGAGGCGCCGGTATACCTTACGCGTACGACGAGAAGCAGTGCATGAACCAGCTTTCCACCCAGTTAAATGGAACCTATGGTCGCAGACTATATTTCTGGGCTATTGTAGAAATTTTTGATGGAATTGTTCCCCACACGCTTGGCTATGATGGCATAAGCGGGAATTTTACAGGGGACAAATTTAATGTAGCCTGCATGGACTATAGAAGTAAGTCCAGCAAATATAACTTGCACATATTATTTGAGTTTCTTTGTTTTGTGCTGAAGGGTCCTCAACGGACTATAACGATATTGCCCTTGGAATGATATAAAATGGGCTGACCACTAATATTTCTTCCATTCTATAAAAATATCTAAGAAAGGGTTTCCTCCCCACACTGGAGTTCGAGGTTTTCCGCCGACTTGACTTGACACTTGACTCGGTGGAATAGTGCGAGCTCCAGTGTCGGGAGTCACCCTTTCTTACAAATCATCGCCGAAGTCGCAACCACAATTTCATAACAATATCTAGCAGGGAATAAGCAGGGAATATGTAGAGTCCACTACCCAGGTAGGGCAAGCTTCACTTGAAAAGTCGCTGCGGCATGACGAAATGCAATGGGGCACCAGTAAATGCCTTGCTGTGTACATAATGTGCATAGAACATACAATCATTTGCCTTAGGTTTCATGCCCTGAAGAGTGTAAAAACAAAAATCATGAATTATGACGTTCATGTATAAAATGAACCAGTAACCGTGTAACAAAAAATTATTACCCTTTTAACGACATTTCTTGGTCTGACGCAAGTATCGTTAGAAGGGAAGGTCGACTGCAATTACAATAATAATAATTTGATAACCGCAAGACCAGCTGAATCGACATTTGTGTACTTTATTCATGCAATGTAAAACAGTGGAGACGATGTGTAATAACACGATGAAAGTATGAAGAAATGGTGTAGAGAAAAAATTAAGGATTCAAAAACAAATGTTCAGTACTCAACTCAACTTGTCATATGTTCAGTACACCCAACTCCACTTGTCATATGTTCAGTACACCCAAATCAACTTGTCATATGTTCAGTACACCCAACTCAACTTGTCATATGTTCAGTACACCGAACTCAACTTGTCATATGTTCAGTACACCCAACTCAACTTGTCATATGTTCAGTACACCCAACTCAACTTGTCATATGTTCAGTATACCCAACTCAACTTGTCATATGTTCAGTACACCCAACTCAACTTGTCATATGTTCAGTACACCCAACTCAACTTGTCATATCTTCAGTACACCCAACTCAACTTGTCATATGTCCAGTACACCCAACTCAACTTGTCATATGTTCAGTACACCTAGCTCAACTTGTCATATGTTCAGTACACCCAACTCAACTTGTCAGTCATATGTTCAGGACACCCAACTCAACTTTTCATTTGTTCAGTACACCCAACTCAACTTGTCATATGTTCAGTACACGCAACTCAACTTGTCATTTGTTCAGTACACCCAACTCAACTTGTCATATGTTCAGTACACCCAAATCAACTTGTAATATGTTCAGTACCACCAACTCAACTTTTGATTTGTTCAGCACACCCAACTCAACTTGTCATATGTTCAGTACACCCAACTCAACTTGTCATATGTTCAGTACACCAAACTCAACTTGTCTTATGTTCAGTACACCCAACTCAACTTGTCATATGTTCAGTACACCCAACTCAACTTGTCATATGTTCAGTACACCCAACTCAACTTGTCTTATGTTCAGTACACCCAACTCAACTTGTCATATGTTCAGTACACCCAACTCAACTTGTCATATGTTCAGTACACCCAACTCAACTTGTCATATGTTCAGTACACCCAACTCAACTTGTCATTTGTTGACTACACCCAACTCAACTTGTCATATGTTCAGTACACCCAATTCAACTTGTCATATGTTCAGTACACCCAATTCAACTTGCCATATGGTCGGTACACTCAACTCAACCTGTCATACGTTCAGTACACCCAACTCCACTTGTCATATGTTCAGTACACCCAACTCGACTTGTCATATGTTCAGTACACCCAACTCCATTTGTCATATGTTCAGTACACCCAACTCAACTTGTCATTTGTTCAGTAAACCCAACTCTACTTGTCATATATTCAGTACACCCAACTCAACTTGTCATATGTTCAGTACACCAACTCCACTTGTCATTTGTTCAGTACACCCAACTCAACTTGTAATATGTTTAGTACACCCAACTCAACTTGTCATATGATCAGTACACCCAACTCAACTTGTCATATGTTCAGAACACCCAACTCAGCTTGTCCCATGTTCAGTACACCCACCTCAACTTGTCATATGTTCAGTACACCCAACTCAACCGTTTATATGTTCAGTACACCCAACTCAACCTGTCATATGGTCAGTACACCCAACTCAACTTGTCATATGTTCAGTACACCCAACTCAACCGTTTATATGTTCAGTACACCCAACTCAACCTGTCATATGGTCAGTACACCCAACTCAACTTGTCATATGTTCAGTACACCCAACTCAATTTGTCATTTGTTCAATACACCCAACTCAACTTGTCATATGTCCAGTACACCCAACTCAACTTGTCATATGTTCAGTATACCTAGCTCAACTTGTCATATGTTCAGTACACCCAACTCAACTTGTCAGTCATATGTTCAGGACACCCAACTCAACTTTTCATTTGTTCAGTACACCCAACTCAACTTGTCATATGTTCAGTACACGCAACTCAACTTGTCATTTGTTCAGTACACCCAACTCAACTTGTCATATGTTCAGTGCACCCAAATCAACTTGTAATATGTTCAGTACCACCAACTCAACTTTTGATTTGTTCAGCACACCCAACTCAACTTGTCATATGTTCAGTACACCCAACTCAACTTGTCATATGTTCAGTACACCCAACTCAACTTGTCTTATGTTCAGTACACCCAACTCAACTTGTCATATGTTCAGTACACCCAACTCAACTTGTCATATGTTCAGTACACCCAACTCAACTTGTCTTATGTTCAGTACACCCAACTCAACTTGTCATATGTTCAGTACACCCAACTCGACTGGTCATATGTTCAGTACACCCAACTCCATTTGTCATATGTTCAGTACACCCAACTCAACTTGTCATTTGTTCAGTAAACCCAACTCTACTTGTCATAAATTCAGTACACCCAACTCAACTTGTCATATGTTCAGTACACCAACTCCACTTGTCATTTGTTCAGTACACCCAACTCAACTTGTAATATGTTTAGTACACCCAACTCAACTTGTCATATGATCAGTACACCCAACTCAACTTGTCATATGTTCAGTACACCCAACTCAGCTTGTCCCATGTTCAGTACACCCACCTCAACTTGTCATATGTTCAGTACACCCAACTCAACCGTTTATATGTTCAGTACACCCAACTCAACCTGTCATATGGTCACTACACCCAACTCAACTTGTCATATGTTCAGTACACCCAACTCAACCGTTTATATGTTCAGTACACCCAACTCAACCTGTCATATGGTCAGTACACCCAACTCAACTTGTCATATGTTCAGTACACCCAACTCAATTTGTCATTTGTTCAATACACCCAACTCAACTTGTCATATGTCCAGTACACCCAACTCAACTTGTCATATGTTCAGTACACCTAGCTCAACTTGTCATATGTTCAGTACACCCAACTCAACTTGTCAGTCATATGTTCAGGACACCCAACTCAACTTTTCATTTGTTCAGTACACCCAACTCAACTTGTCATATGTTTAGTACACGCAACTCAACTTGTCATTTGTTCAGTACACCCAACTCAACTTGTCATATGTTCAGTACACCCAAATCAACTTGTAATATGTTCAGTACCACCAACTCAACTTTTGATTTGTTCAGCACACCCAACTCAACTTGTCATATGTTCAGTACACCCAACTCAACTTGTCATATGTTCAGTACACCCAACTCAACTTGTCTTATGTTCAGTACACCCAACTCAACTTGTCATATGTTCAGTACACCCAACTCAACTTGTCATATGTTCAGTACACCCAACTCAACTTGTCTTATGTTCAGTACACCCAACTCAACTTGTCATATGTTCAGTACACCCAACTCAACTTGTCATATGTTCAGTACACCCAACTCAACTTGTCATATGTTCAGTACACCCAACTCAACTTGTCATTTGTTCAGTACACCCAATTCAACTTGCCATATGGTCGGTACACTCAACTCAACCTGTCGTACGTTCAGTACACCCAACTCCACTTGTCATATGTTCAGTACACCCAACTCGACTTGTCATATGTTCAGTACACCCAACTCCATTTGTCATATGTTCAGTACACCCAACTCAACTTGTCATTTGTTCAGTAAACCCAACTCTACTTGTCATATATTCAGTACACCCAACTCAACTTGTCATATGTTCAGTACACCAACTCCACTTGTCATTTGTTCAGTACACCCAACTCAACTTGTAATATGTTTAGTACACCCAACTCAACTTGTCATATGATCAGTACACCCAACTCAACTTGTCATATGTTCAGTACACCCAACTCAACTTGTCATATGTCCAGTACACCCAACTCAACTTGTCATATGTTCAGTACACCTAGCTCAACTTGTCATATGTTCAGTACACCCAACTCAACTTGTCAGTCATATGTTCAGGACACCCAACTCAACTTTTCATTTGTTCAGTACACCCAACTCAACTTGTCATATGTTCAGTACACGCAACTCAACTTGTCATATGTTCAGTACACCCAAATCAACTTGTAATATGTTCAGTACCACCAACTCAACTTTCGATTTGTTCAGCACACCCAACTCAACTTGTCATATGTTCAGTACACCCAACTCAACTTGTCATATGTTCAGTACACCCAACTCAACTTGTCTTATGTTCAGTACACCCAACTCAACCGTTTATATGTTCA